TCTCTGGGGAAAGATTCTTGTGGTATATTCATACGGGACCAGTACTTAGATAATGACCCTCTTCCACATGCTAAATTAACTAATGAGAGCTCTCAAAACTTTATTCTTCCTTCAAAAACCACAAGTACATTGTGCTTCATTCCTTTCCATCAACTATTTCAAAACGTCACACAAACTATAATTACTTTTGTTACCTTGCAATGTAGACATCCTACCTTGTGGCTTAAAGACAAGAATGAATGAATGGAGAGAATACAAAGAAAAATGCTGCCAATACATGATTTTACCAGATAATTCCAAAACATTTATCAACACATTACTTCACAATATATAATCCACATGCAGTAGATTATCATCACCTAGTCATATATGGGCCACAAGGCCCCTTAATCAAAGGTGAAGGTCGGTAGTAATCTGAAGCATTCATTGTCGGCCAATCCAAAACTACAACGAAAAAGAAAGGAGGTGAATTAGCACATGAAGATATCTTGATAATCAGCTACATTGATTGATAATTGATATTTTCTGTTAGTGGGTTTTGGACAAGTATTAGTGTGTTACAACCCCCTAGAAAAAGGCTTATTGGCCCACGTGTCCTATTTACATAGAATCCCCACTCATTCTATTGTCTGTCTGGTATGGTTTGTCCTTTGATATGTGAACTAAACACTAACCAATATGTTTCATCCTGAATCTATTCTTCAAAAGCAAGGCTATATTTTTATTATATAATTTCTACCCTTTTATGTAGCGATGGAGCTACCACCACATCAACCAAAACCAACCCCACGGCCACCAATACCACCACAATATATGCAGCAAGAAACACCATTGCATTTTCTTTGTATCCCCTAGTCGGCATACAAAGTTGCCTGCAACTGCATTTCAGAAACTCTCTACTCTCTTGTCTGCCACTTGCCGGGCTATCACTTTTCATCCACTCTCCTTCATTTTGCTAATCTTAATTTGTTGAGGCAAAACGAAAGATTTTCCCTACACGTTTTCACCACTCCCTTATCTATCTTTTAATTTGCATTAGTTTCATAAGCTTCATGATTGTTCCTTTATCACAGGCTACATAAGGAAAAAGTCAGTAAGAGAAAAAGTAGTCAACAACCAGACTATAAATATGGCCAATTCCTTAGGATTCAATTCAATCCCTTGAACACTTAACTACCTCTATATAGCCTTGAGGATTCAAACTTAAACACACATGTCGCTTTCCTGTGCAAAAAACTTCTTCCAGAGGTTCTGGCTAGATGAATACCAAATGGGTAATATTCCCCATGGAAGCTTTTTGGCCAATGGTGATCTCCTGCCATCTCTTGGAGCCAGAATTAACCAGGAAATTAGACTTAGAAGATACGTAATCTCCCCTTTCAATCCTCGCTATAGGTGATGTAATGACCCTTCACATATAGTCACAAGAGGATACATAACTCTTGTGAATATTATTTGTGTCTGCATCTTCTCATGTTCTTTTATTACAGGGCTTGGGAGTTGGTACTGGTTGTTCTAGTCATATACTCAGCTTGGATTTGCCCATTTGAGTTTGCCTTTCTGCCTTACAAGGAAGATGCTCTATTCATCATAGACAACATTGTCAATGGTTTCTTTGCAATTGACATAGTGTTGACATTCTTTGTAGCATACCTTGACCACCATTCTTATCTTCTTGTTGATGATCCGAAGAGGATTTCAATCAGGTGAATGTACATAACTTTTTCCTCAAAGCTTAATAATGCTACAGCAACTCTGCTTACTCTAAATGGCTCAATCAAACTTGCAGATACCTATCTTCCTGGTTTGCTTTTGATGTCTGCTCAACAATACCGTTTCAGTCCTTAAGCTTCCTCTTCACGAATAGTGGCAGTGAGCTTGGCTTCAAAGTTTTTAACATGTTTCGGTTATGGCGTTTGAGACGAGTCAGTTCTCTGTTTGCAAGGTATACCAATACCATCAAATCATATTCAACTTTATGGTTATGAATGGTTATCATCAAAGGCTTCTAAATACAAGAATATGACATTTCTTAATGACGCCTTTGCTTTGCTTTCAGGCTAGAAAAGGACATTCGCTTCAATTATTTCTGGAATAGGTGCACAAAGCTCATAGCTGTAAGCTACTAGAATTCATATGTTTTCTTTGTTCTTCTTGCTGTAAAAATTTCAAGATACTTTCAATAAATGAGTTGCCACTTTCACAAAATTTCAGGTGACCTTATTTGCTGTGCACTGTGCGGGATGCTTTAACTATCTCATTGCAGATAGGTACCCAGATTCCAAAAGAACCTGGATTGGTGCTGTGTACCCAAATTTCAAAGAAGAAAGTCTTTGGGACAGATATGTCACAGCAATATACTGGTCCATTGTCACTCTTACTACCACTGGTTATGGGGATTTACATGCTGAGAACACAAGAGAGATGTTGTTTGATATCGCTTACATGCTGTTCAACTTGGGTTTAACATCCTATATCATTGGAAACATGACTAACCTTGTAGTCCATTGGACCAGCCGTACCAGAAATTTTGTATGTACTCTCTCAAACTCCTGTTTTTTCTCTTCTGGTAATGCTGAATTTATCAGTGCCAATTATTATTATGCGCTAGATTAAACTAAAATCTGCTTCTCATTTAATAATGCCCTTCAAAGTCACTATCCAGGACAATGTTCAAAAAGCTAATTTTAGATATTCTGTGGGCCCCACACTTCGGTGTTACAATTAAAACAGCAAATCTAAATCTAGCATAACTCTACTGTTAGTTTCATGGAATGTTGGCTGTGCTGCAGTTTCATTTTCAGCAATAACTAACTATCTCCTTTCCAATAAAATAACTCGTTCAGATAAGAGGAATTTTATTTCTTCTGTCTAATGAAGAGAGGATTGGTTTTGGTGCCGCAGAGAGACACAGTCAAAGCAGTTTCTGAATTTGCATCAAGAAATCATTTGCCCCATCGCATACAAGATCAGATGTTGTCACATATATGTTTGAGGTTTAAAACAGAAGAACTGAAGCAGCAAGAAACATTGAATGATCTTCCAAAGGCAATTCGTTCAAGCATTGCACACCATCTGTTTTTTCCTGTCGTGCAAAAGGTCTACCTTTTCCAAGGAGTCTCACATGATTTCCTTTTCGAACTGGTGATACCAATACCCCACATGCCTTGTTTGTTTTTATCATCGTGACATTTTGTCTTAATGCTAAAATATCCGTAATTGACTAAAGTGACCCTGTTATAATAGATTTCAGATATCGAAGCTGAATATTTCCCACCCAAGGAAGATGTCATACTACAAAAAGAGTCCTCCACGGAACTTTATGTGCTGGTTTCAGGGGCAGTGGTGAGTTAGCTTAAATCGTGAATAATTCAATAAGCATTAATTCATATTGGAGAATGTTTACTGACAATTTTTTCTTTTAAACTGTTACCTGTTGCAGGATCTGGTTCGCTACATCGATGGGCATGATCACGTAAAGTTGTTCAAGATCATGACATTTTATTCAGCTTCAAAATATGAAATAACTGAATATAACTTTCTCTCTCTACGTTAAACAATTCAGGTTCATGGGAAGGCAGTTGCAGTTGATGCGTTTGGAGAGATTGGAGTTTTGTATCAGATACCCCAGCCTTTAACAGTTCGTACAACAGAACTTTCTCAGATTTTAAGACTCAACAAAACATCCTTAATGAATGTTTTACAAGCAAATCCAGGAGACGCACAAATTATAATGGATAACCTTTTAATGGTAATAATGAGGATATGGAAGACCTCTAAATTCAAATCATGGAAAATATTTAATAGAAACTTCATTTATAGCATATTCCGCCAACAATAATAGAATCCTGAACCACTTTTTTGTGCATTGACAGAGGTTGAAGGGGCGTGAAGATTTTGGCTTTGAATTTCTTTGCACAGATTCTGGGCGGTTTACAAATGAACTGCTTCAAGGAGATCATACGATACGAAGCTCTTCTCACGAGTGTACAAATAATTCACATGAGCATTCATTAATGCGTGAAGGAGAGTGCATAGATATTAGAAAGTCTGAGATCAGTTTGCGTAATGTGACTAATGATGATGATTTAGTCACTAAACATAGCGTGATCCCCGAGCATGATACAGGAGAAGCTCGTGCCCCTGCACGCAAAGAGAATCGAGATGTTGTTGAAATTCTGCTGGAAAGAGAATCAAATCCTAACGCAAATTCCATAGGGTGGACACAAAATGCTCTAGCAAAACAGCCGAAAAAGAAGAGCATTTGTGACCCAAAAAGGAGTCATGAAAAGGAGAAGTTGGATGAATTTAGAATAGAGATAGAGGAGCCAGAAATCCTCCTTGACAGGGATAGCTCAACGAGAAACAGAAGACATGGAGGTATTAGATCTATCAAGTATCCAAAAGAAAAAATAAGCACAAACTCCAATTCAAGAAATTCTAACTGTCCAAGTGATATCGATTCGGCAAGGCTTCCCAAGAAGAGAGTAACAATCCAGTTGCTACATGGATGCAGGAGTAGCTCACAGGGAAGCCACGGAAAATTAATAATCCTGCCCGATTCATTAGAAGAGCTGCTCAAAATTGCCGGTAAGCTTTTTGACTCAAAATAAAAACGTTGATTATGAATTATGATTTAAGAACCTATAGAAGAGCAAATATAGTTTCACCCACACACACTGGATCAGCTATTTTAATGGGGGAAAGGGGCCGAGGGGAAGATGGTGAAAAAAATACATGTTATATTCAAGAAACAAAAACAGTGTAACTTTTTACTGCTCCCACTTTGTCCTCCTAACTATAAACTTGAAAAATTGCAGGTGAAAAATTTGGCGGCTTCAACCCTACAAAAGTAGTAAATACAGAGAATGCAGAGATAGATGACATAAATGTAATCCAAGATGGAGATCGTCTCTTTCTTCTGTGCTGCGATAACGAAAATTTGTGTTCGTGATGCTATGAAGATAGATAACATCTTTTGGAACATAATGACAACCGTGTAATTGAATCATAAAATGCTAAGCATTCAGAAAGATATGGAAAATCATACAATTAAATTACAAAAGCTGCTCGCTGTTCAATGTTCACTACTTAAAACAAAATTTTACAATCTCGATCAGATAGGGCCGGCTATAAATCCAAGAAAATGAGTGGAAGTCAATTTGACGGTCTCTAAATGTGTTTTCTGATGAATTGCCTGATCCAAACAGTATTTCACAGTTTTTAATATCACTGAGAACCCAGCTAATCAATTCCTTTACAACCAGAACTGCTTTTGGTCAGTGTAAGAGATGCTAGACTGAATTCAAAGAAGCATCTCACTTTGTGAGAACAGGGTCGTATTTCTATTAATTGACTGTTGAATGCCTTTGATGAATAAAACTCATTTCTTCAAATTGATTGGTATAGGATGTGCTTCTGTGTTGAAAACAAATTTATCCAGAGGAATAAGAGAACTGTCCGAAAAAAGTAAGTATAAATACTTGAGTGTTTCTCCTAGAAAGAAAGTCTCCATTTTGTCTCTTCTGTGAGGAGGAACACTGGTTACATCGTCCAGGGAACAATATCCACCTGTATCAACCTTTGTGTGTTTTTCAAAAGCTTCAAAGATTTGCCAACCCCATTCACGATATCTGTAAGACAAGATAGTCATATCTAGTTATTTCAAAAAATAATGAATAAGTAAAACTAGAAAAAAAAATTAAGCTAACTTTCACTGTTTCTTAGATATGGTTAAAAGAAATATATAACTATAAACTAATCATATACAACATAGGAGGAAAGCATACTTTGGATCTTCTGTGATGCGGTACAAAACAAACAACGACTCCACAGTCTCAGGTCTCAGAAGATTATGACGGTCAGCAGGTCTTATTATGATATCATTAACAAATTCTGAGCTCTTATTTCCTCCGTCGTGACCTTCTTCAGAAAAATCCTGGACACAAAAAGCAAGAGGCAAGATGTCATGTTTCTATTCTTGCCATGAAAAAATTCAGTAGAAAAACAAATTATTTCCATAAGCAGCACCATAGAACATAAATGTTGCCTTTTCTTGTGATCTTCTTTCAACTGATGAAATAAAAAATGCTATATAAAGTCTACTAACCTCGGTATGAAAGTAAGCAATTTCAGGGGCAAGACCAGTTGAAGTTACTGCATACATTTCAAAGCATGTTTTAGTCAGATCTTCTGCTAGCTTCAGATTTTCTAGGTCTTCAAAGTTAAGCATATTGTTTTTCATTGCCTGTTTCTTTGTAAGACCTTTAGTGGCACCAAGTGCAAGAGTACCAGGTAGGAAACACACCTGAGAGGGCAGACATTGCAATTTTACGTCAATGTTAGTATGTACAAGTCAGTATTAACAAGGGAACTCTTAAATCTTAATTATGATCAATCCGCTTAACAGAATTTTCATGAGAAAAATAAGGGCAGAAAAAATAAGCAAATAACAGCAGAGTATTTTTCTACTAAACGGAAGAGCTACTTGATACTCTCTGTCAAATCCACAGCTCAAAGAAATCTATTAAACTCAAGCTTCTCTATAAATGTTTGGGACAAAATCTTTCTAAGAGCATTAAAGCTGTCATTGGAACCCATCTTACTACTCCGAATCAATACTGCTACTGTAAATGTAAATTTCCGGACCAGTCACGGTACTCATACGGTTCAGGCTTCAGAAAATTATGGTAGCCATTTTTCCATCATTCTTTTGTAACCTCAACCATGAAATATAGCCTCAGTTTTCATTTGAATGTTGTCGTTGAGTACAATTATGACGTTCTCATCTCAAAAAATGCACCCTAATCATATGCTTAACTTGTAAAAAATCATAACCGATTCCAATTATGTATACAGTATAATTAAACATAAGAGGAAAACTTAGTTCCCAGTATGTGAAACAAATTATATAGGCATTTTAAAATGTTTATGGAACGAATTTAAACCACACACAGACGTAGCAGAATATGACTCAGCATTACAGTGGAAAATGATAACAGAGAAGCCCTGCAGGAACATCCGCTGTTCAATTTTCTATAAAATCATACATAATCGTAGTAGGGTGGGAAACTGGGAATGTCATAATTTCAAAGGCAATAAAAAATTGAATTTCATAATTTACGTACATCAAATACAATTAGACAATTTCTAATGACAAACCAATCCAGCAGTTCATAATTAAGGATACTGTATAGCGAGTGCAGCATATTACATATGGCACAGGAACTAGATCAAACCTATTGCACGATTTCTACTGAATGATATTTTCAAGCAACTATACTATATGGCTAAATAAATTGCCTGCAATGCCAAGTTTAAAAATTAGAAAGTACCACATACCAAGTGATCCATTTTTGAGCTGAAAGCACCGTTTAACCCGTAAGGTAATTCTCCAACAAAAACTAGTCCATTTGGAATTGATTTCTTAACAAGACGATGTCTAACACCATTCATTGCTTCCTTGTACATTTCATATAGATATGATGTATTACTATTGCTACTATCTCCACTCTGAAGCCATACTTTAATTAAGTACTCATAGTAACTGTCACCACGAGATCCCAGTCTAATATTTTCTCCATTGAATTCGCCAGAGTGAGGGCTGCATTTAGTTATTAGAGATAACTAAATGTCAGTAGAAACAAGATGAGAAAATAAAAAGAAAATATAATAAGTATATGAACAAAACCAATCAAAAGACTTATCCAGAATTACTCCAATTGAATATGAATTCCAAATACAATGATTAAGTTATATTCAGTTTCATACCTAATATAGATAGGAACCAGTCCTTCAAATTTTGGAAGAGTCTTCATGTGCTCCATGACTTTCATTGCTTCCAAACCATATTTCTGATCACCAGATACAGAACTGAGATAATTAAACTCAAGCTGCACAGTGGAAACTTCTGACGTGCTACTCAATCCACCAGGAGCTGGTTGTGCTGACTTGTCATGAAGAATAACATCACTAAAGGGAATAGCAGTGGGACTGGTCGTAAAAGCAGATAGCAAACGGTCAGCCAAATCCTTAGCAGTTGCTAGATAAACTTCTGGTTTAGGTCCTGCTTGAGTAATGTTCATTCCATTTTCCCCACCACTTAAATGGTACGCGCTCAAAAGTCCACCCAAAACTCGAATCGTGGTTTCAAATAAATTCACTTGACCCTTGCTCCTAATTCTCTCAGAAAGGTGTTCCGCAACCCAGGATCCAGCTTCAGCAACAACCTCATCAAGACCCATAATCATAGCAGTATCGAGAGCATCTACAACCGTCGCACCTAACCCTCCTAATCCATCAACTCCTTGCCGGCTGAGTGGCATAAGCTCATCCCTACCCATGGCAAATTTTTTGTACCCAGACCACGCATGAAGAAAAGCTTCCTTAACCTTCTGTTGCCTAGCAATCCACATTGACCTAACAACATCCGGATTTCCCAATACCTGGCCAGCGCCATTACTACTTACCTTTTCATCCGGCGATAATCGAGGAGGAAGCCTCGGAGGCCGTCTCCAGAATCTCTTTATTTTGCCAGCACCATCAACAAAGCTACTATTGGCGTAACTGACTCTATTCACAATTGTTTGATCATTAGAAACTACACCACCTGAACTCGAGTGTGCCAACACAAGATAAGCCACGCCAAAGATCAATATCAAGAACAGAAACTTTCCTGTACTACAGCTGACACAATCACGCTTTAGGTTACCGGTGAGCAAGTTCTGAGTAACAACCTGGAAAATCAACACATAGCAAATAACTAAACATTTATTCCTTCTTAAACTAACACAAATGCCCGTTACAAACTCACAATGGCAAGGAGTACAAAGAGAAACTAATGTGAAGATTATAGAGAATCGCATTAGCGTGATCAGGATTGTAGGAATGGATGCAGCTAAGGAAGACAGGTATTGGGGAAAACGACGATGATTGGATCTGAATTGAAGAGAGAAACGTACCTTGGAGAAAGAACGGTGGCGAAACTTGGCGTTATCGTAGTCAACATCTTTGATGGAGTAGGGCAGAGACTTGGACATGGTGTTGGATCCGATCAACAATTCCAATTGAGCAAAAGACACACGAAGATCTAGCTAAGAATTCGGTTGCGTAAAAACAGCGGGATTCTATGCCTAACTTGCATCGTCTCATGCGACCAGAGAGAGAGAGAGAGAGAGGTTTCTCCGCTGCCAGAATAGGGAAGTTGTGAGAGGAACTTTCAGATCAATGGTGTTTGACGCATTCAACACGTTTTAATTATATCCTATTATTTTTACAAATCTTCTTAGAGGTTTTATGAACCAACTTATTATATGGGAAAAAATGTATTCAAAATTTTAAAAACATAAAATATACTTAATTGACAATTTTTTTATAAATATAAATTTTAAAAAATATATGTATATATATTTGAAGAGAGTTTTTACTATTCTTAATTATCTTACCCACAAACCACGTTGAATTCCCATCTAATGGGTTTATATGCACCAAGTGTACAAATTTTAAGGTGTGATTGGTTGTGATGTTCAGAATGTTCACCAAAAATTTGACGATGTGGCGGCTGCACTGACTTTTACGAAAAGAATCAATTATCTGTGTCACTTGGTAAGTTGATGCAACATTTACACATAGGTTTTATCTTTTTAGTGGCGTTAATTATTTTGTGTTGAAAATGGTAGGAGCTATTGTTAGAGATTTACTAGTCAATTGTCATACTATATCATAGTATCTTGCCTAATTGTACTTATGAAGGTCAACTTCTAATATAAGTTCTTTCTAAAGACGGACAGTATTATGAAAGTATGTAATTATTATCTAGTTATGTTGTAGGAATTTTTGACCGGAGAAAAAAAAAAGAACTCATTCTTTGTGCATTGTACGAGTGAGAAGGTTTGGTGCATTTATTTTTGTAAATCTTTATTGTAGGAACTTGAAGTGAGGGTAAAGAACTATTTTGAATATATAAATATAACTGTAAAGATGGTGGGTATATTAATATAATATACATATACATGTAAAAAAAATTCAGAGATTAACCCTTTTAAGATGAGATATTATTGAATATATATATATATATATATATATATATATATATATGATTATATGAATGTACTCTGTTTAATTATTATATTAATGCATCAATTTCTTAATAAGGTATGATTATATGAATATATGAATATAGTGATATTGTTGATTTTAGTTGTATGTATAAAGTTATTAAAATGTATATATTTTGTTAAGTAAATATAGATGGAAGAAGAACTAGATTTATCATATTTGGACCATGAAGATATAGATGATGATGTGGTTGGTGTAGACTTCAATATAGTTGCAAAGTTACGTCAAAAATTACAAGTAACCATTTCACTAGCTACACTAACAATGTTATGCATTGTTGGACATGCGTTAAGTATCTTGAATATGTACTTGAGTGATTCGAGTAGTGTAAGCAATTTCCTACCAGACAGAGACCGTCGTAGGGAGCAATTAATGTCATACATTGTGCATACTAATCGGTGTCGCGACATTATAAGGATGGGTCCAGAGGCATTTATTAATCTTTGTGAGAGACTAAGAACAACTGGGTTAGTTAAGGACGTCATTCGATCGATAGTGGAGGAACAAGTTGCTCAATTTCTTCATAAAATTGGCCAATGTTAAGAATCGAAGTGTCACATTTTTCTTTCATCGATCTGGGGCGACAATTAGCAAACACTTTCACAATGTGTTGGATGCTATTTTAAGTTTGGAATTTGAATTTTTAATTCAACCCTCAGGAAATGAGGCTAATCCATATGTCTTGAACAACAATCGATTTTACCCGTACTTTAAGGTGCTCATTTGAACATATTTGAAGATTTTATTTTATCAAAGGATGATTAAAATTTTTGAGTTTTATGATGACTTGTTAATTGTATGTTTAGGATTGTTTAGGGGCCATAGACGATACTCATGTTTGTGTAAAGGTGCCAAGATTAGATGCTCCGAGATTTCGAGGAAGAAAAGATTGACTAACTCAAAATGTGTTTGCAGCGTGTGATTTTGATATGAAATTCACATACATTCTAGCTGGGTGGGAAGACACTACATTTGATTCAAGAATTTTAAAAAGTGATCTTGATCGAGATGATTCGTTGGTTATCCCCCAAGGTCAGTGTCTATATTGCGATGTTGTTCATTTTATTTATTAGTGACTAAATACCTGTATGTGTACAACATTGTAGGAAAATACTATCTTGGTGATGCTAGATTTATGTTGAAAAGCACAGTTTTGACTCCATATAGAGGCGTCAGATATCACTTTAAAGAATATACACGCAGAGGACCACATAATCCACGCGAGTTGTTTAATCATCGACATTCATCGTTGAGAAATGTTATTGAAATAACTTTTGGTGTGTTGAAAAAACGGTTCCCTATCATTGCAAGTGACACTGAACCACATTATGAATTGGAGACAATGACAAACATTATATTAGTTTGTTGTATCTTACACAACTTCCTTCGTGGCATGGATAATGATGACTCATTACTTGAAGAATTTGATAATAAGTTGAATGAAAGGGAAGGCTATAATGTTTCATCATCTCAAGTTAGAGAAGAGGATCATAGGATTGGTAGTAGCATCAGGGATTCCATAGCAAATCAAATGTGGCGAGATTATCAAATCTCGTAGTTATTGTTTTTCTTTGTGTTGTATGACTATGTTATTTGAAATTGGCAAGAACTTTGTTTTATGGTTGTTTAATCTTAACTTCTTACCATTTTGTTTATCAATTAGGTTTAAAATGAACAAAGGTAAGGGAGTTGCCGTGGAGTCCTCTGGTCCTACCAGAGAGTTCATAAAGTGGACAGAGGACATGGACACATGTCTTCTAGACACCATGATTAAGGAATCACGACTGGGTAATAAGGTTGATAGAAGCTGGACATCCCAAGCTTATAGTTACATTGTTGATAATCTTCATAGCTTTGGGTATGTAGCAATTACGAAAAACAATGTCAAAAATTGACAGAAAGTGTTGAAAGACAAATGGTGTGAGGTACATGACCTCTTTGCTGGATTAAGTGGATTTGCCTGGAACAACGTAACTATGAGATTTGAAGTTGAGGACGAAGTCTGGGAGGACCTCATTCAGGTATTTGTTAAATGCTCAGATTCTTAAAATACACAATATGAACCACATTATGTTTAATGTATGTTGTTTCAGTCGAGGGCAAGTGCAGCAAAGTGGCAAGTTAACAATATCAGACACTAGGATTTAATGGTGTAGTTATGGGCCGCGGATCGAGCTACTGGAGTGGTGTTCGGATCGCTCGTCAAGCACGTCGACAGCGGGTTGGGCCTCGTGTACAGGTTGATCTGAATCAGAATATGGAGTACATTCTAGAGGAGCCCATCTATCCAGGGTTTACTGATCCAACTCCACCATCACCTCCTCCATATGTGGATAAGTATAGTCCAGGGCAGACTCAATCTGTGCCTTCCGTCTCATCTGGAGGAACTTCATCCTCACGAGGTTCCAAAAGGAAGGCACCTATTATCGATGTAATTGATGCTTAATAAATTGACAACCAGCCTGAATGGTTTCACAAATGTCCTTGGATCTACAAATGTTCATTTTGAAAAGATTTCAAATGCAACCGTGCGTCAAGTCGATGCAATGAAAAATAGAAATGAAATACTACGTTCCCAAACCGAGATCCTACGTCGCACCCCAACATTCACATACACAGAGGGTGACATATATGAAATGTTGAGTGCTATGAACATTTCAGATGAAAACTTGCTCGAGCGATGTTATGATTTCTTATGTGGAAACCCCACATGTACAAAGAGGTTGATAGGACGTCCACCAAACAAGAGGTGGAATAAGTTATGTAAATTGATCTCGGGTTGTGACTGTTAAAATGATTAGTTGTATTACTATTATACTATTAGATGTACCTATTTTGTAATTATGACTTCTTGGTTTTGAACCATCTTCAATTTTTCAGTTATGGTTATGGCTCATTAATGGTTTGTCTTTGCTTGTTGTTATTATTAATATTGAATAATTTGTTATGACTTAACTTGTTATTGTTTTTATTTATGGTTTTGTTGAAGTAATTGTTAAATGGCCTCGTCATCAACCAAAAGGCCTAGAAAAAGTCGTAAGGGAAAATAAACCATAATTGAGCCAGAAGCTGCTACCTATGTCAGACCATCTGTTGCAGAACAATTAGATCAGCGTCGTTTCTTCAGTCGCATGCATCAGATGGAAAACTATGCAGCTGATTTCTACACAAGGAATATTGTTGTTCCAAAAATTATGAATTTCGAATCATTTGCCGGTTTAAGCTTATATTTTCAACATCATCTTTATTTCAAGGAGTGGTTGAATTTCTGACATTGCACGGACCCTTCTATCCGAATTTGATCAAAGTTTTTTATTCAAATATGAAGATTTCTAGAAATGGATATTTGCTCAATGAGGTCAACAAGAGAAGAATTAGATTGAAACCCACTGATTGGTTGAATGTTGCTAATATGAAGTATGAGGCTCAAAAATTGTGTTATTCAAATATCCTAGATGACTTTCCCTATGACCGGGATATGACATTAGCTACTATGGTTAGACCAAAAATGCAGGGTTAACGTGTTAAAACGGTTGATTGTTTGAATATTAATGATAGACTTCTGCATTATGTTATTGTGCACATGTTGACTCCACGACCTGCAAATTTTGCAAAGTTATTGCAGGAGGATATCTTTATGTTATGGGTGCTTAAAAATAATATAGCTATCAATTGGCCTCATCACATCATGCAACATATGCTTAAATGCAAGGCCGGTGACACACCCCTACTATACGGTGTCCTTATCACCCAAATCATGCAATATTGTGGAGTACATGTTGATGCCGATGCCAACACTCATTTCTCAATTAATTCTTTGAAGATGTTGAATATTGTTAATGTCAACGGTGTTTGACAACACGACGTCGGTGATGATGAAGACGAAGAACAATCACACCATCATGAGAACCCTGTGCAACCTCCTCCACATCTTTCAAATCCTCATATGATGACTCAAATGTGGGAGGGGGTACAAGACTTGCAACACAGAACGCAGGGTATGGAACAAATACAGGTGCGGGTTCAACGTTTGAAGATAACTTGGCTAACCTATCCCTCGACATGAATCGACAATTTGCTCAGCTAAATCATAATGTTAACTTAATTCTTCACCATTTAGATGAT